AGATCCTGAAAGGTGAATATCAAAGCTTGATCTACATTTTTAACTGAATTCAGAAATAAAAGGCTGTAATCAGCACTGTGTCAGCCTTTCTGAAATAGCTCAATTAACATCTCAACTGCCTAATACACAGAGCCAGAACATAAGAGCTCTTGAAAGTGTCATGAAACCCGGGCTGTTCATCCAAGCAATGTTCCTCTTACCCACATTTCATTTTTTTAGGAGCCAGCTGATGGCATTTGGGAGAAAGGAGAATGATTTTAAGATGATTAATGTTTGCAGCCTCACCCAGCCCTGAACCCTGAAATGCCATTCACCACGGTCCAGTGAGTTCTGTCTCTGGGCAGGTTCAGATTTACCTCTGTTTCCCTCAGAAAAGAGACTTGTCAGTCAACACTGGGGGATCAACCAGTCTGAGTCTGACAGACTGCCAGGACACCCTGAACGAGAAGACAGGCTCAAGTGGGCCCCATCCCTGGAGACTCTGATGATGAGTTGTCTAAAATGATCAACATGCAAGCCTCCAGACATGTGAAATCTGCTCATATCACGTCTCTTGGGGAATCGAGAGCTTAGGGGAGAGAGGACTTAGGGGAGAGAGACAGTTGCCCCTGGAAGTGATGCTTCTTCCCCGATTATAATCAAAAAGCTATAGCTGCAGGGAGGCCCAAGCTGTAAGGACCTCTGGTTGGTGTCCAATTAGTTCTATCTGCAGTCATGACAGTGATTGCCTGATTTTTTAGGAACAATAGAAATGGACATTTCCCAACATGCTCAAAACATAGAGAAACAGTCTGTTGTAATGAGAAGAGAATCTTTAAAGAATACAAATCTGCTTTATATAAGGTTGATTAAATGGTATAATCCATGTGATACAAACCCTGGAAGATAATAAATATTCCCTTCAACAAAATGAGAATAATGCCTACAATTTAAGAGCTATCTTTTGGGTCACAGTTGAATACGTCCTAGAGAAATGTAGTCAGCCTATTAATTATCATAGAAGCCTGTAGAGGTTAAGTAAGTTACTCAAGATCGCATAGTGAATTACGTTGAAGCCAAGACTAGAAATCTGCACTCCTAACTCCATGTAAGCTTCTTTTTGTTTCCAGGGTGCTTTCTCTGCTTTCAAAACATGTATTCCAAAATGTATGAGTGGGCGAATGATTGTTTTTAAGAAGATAATACAAATAAAAAATTGTGATTTTTATAAAATAATAGCAACTGAAGTTTAGATTTCTTTGCTCCCAGTCCAGTATCCTTTCCCATACCCCTCTAGAAAGAAAATGTTTTGAAGAAGTTTATTACATATGCATTTTTAGGTCACATTTAAAAAACACCATCCATATTTCATCCCCCTTCCAATACTTGTGGGATGACACTTTGCTCATCTTTAGAGAAGAGGTAAAGTAAAGGAACTATTGTTTTGTCAGTTATTATGTGAACTGCTTTTCCTATATCGTCTTATTGAATCTCTGCAAATATGTGACATATAGGAATGATTAACCTCATCTTGTGGATAAAACTGAAGCTCAGATTACTACACTTATTTTCTCAATGACAATCAGCTAGAAAGCGTGGACTGACTTGAATGTGTGTTTCTTCACTCCAACATCTACGCTTTTTGCACTATTCATATGTGGTTACCTTGACAATGTGAAAATGGCTCATACGTGTCCAGGCCAGGCACAGTGGGATGGAACAGAGAGCAGGCTTGATTTTCTGCTGCTATTGTTCTTTCCCTTGCTTCATAGAAAGGTGAGGACCAGTTCTCCTCTAATCAAGCAGAGGCCTCAATTTCTAGATGAAGGAAATTGAGTTGAAGCACTCTGTTCCTTGGGTCTTAATGTTGTCAGGGAAACGAAGGCCTCTCTAGCCCAAACAAGTTCACAGCACAGAAGGGAGTCATTTGCTGATTCATTTGTTCATTTATAAATCCATCTGTAAAAACTCTGTGCTGAGGCTTGATCTGGGATCTCCTGATGCTGTTTCTGATGTAGTAAAGGAGATGAGACATAGACCCACTTAGGACTAGACGTTGGAGGCCTCCCAAGAGAGGTACAAGAGCAGAGTGGTTTGCAATTTTAAAGAAGGAAAAGGCTGCTTCTTTTGTATCTCAGCTTCTTTATGTTAAAATAGGGAATATTATATTTATCACCTAAGGTTTTTGTGAGAATTAGAATTAAAGCCTTAAGTTCTTTATCTACATTGATTCTTTATCCACATCTAATGGTTCTTCTAATGGAAGAACAATTATTCTTCCTGCCACAGTCTACCCTCAGGCCCCCAAAGATTCTCCTTTCCACATAACTACAGGGCATAATTCTACTAAGCTTTCCACCACTGTGTAACCAAGATCCCTTTCCTGTAGTTTCCAATAACATGTTTCTCATTTCCATTTGAGTTGTCACGCTCAGCATTCTCCAAGTCCACATTTCTCTAAGAAATCTTTAAAGCTTCACTGGCAGTATCCTTAAAGTCTGTATTTCTGCAAATCTCTTGTTAGAAGCAATCTAGGTTTTTTCTATTACGTTCCTCAACATTCTAGCCTCTGTTCACTTCCCAATTCAAAAGCCATTTCTATACTTTTAGGTATTTGTTACATAGCACCCTACTTTTGGTACCAAAATTGATATTTTCTATTGCTACCATAACAAATTATCACAGACCTAACACCTAATGACTTAACACAAATGTATTATCTTATAGTTCTGTAGGTCTGGTACAGATCTCACCAGAATAAAATAAAGCTTTCAGCAATCATAGCCTTTCTGGAGGCTCAATAGAAGAACCATCTCCTGCTCATTCAGGTCATGGCAGAATTTATTTCCTTACAATTGTAGGACTAAGGTATGTGTTTTTTTGATGGCTGTAACCTAATAACCATTCCCACTTTATAAAGGTCACCATTTTCCTTGGCTTGTCCTCTTTCTCTAACTTTGAAGCCAGCAGTGGTGAGTCAAGTCGTTTCCAAGTCACATCTCTCTGATCCAATCTTTTGTCTTCCTCTTCCTCTTCCTCTTCTATGGATTCATGTAAAGGTACTTTACATGTAATTAGATTGGGTCTACCCAGATAATCCAAGACAGTCTCCCCCTCTCAAGATCCCTAACCTTAATCACATCTCCAAGTCCCTTTTGCTGTTTAAGATAACATATTCATAGGCTCTGAGAATTAAAGTGTGAACATTTTTGAGGAGTGAGTTGAGGATATTATTTCTCCTACCATATCCTGTTACCTATGAAACACATCAAATAGTTTTTTCTATTCTTAGTGATACTGTCTCTCCATTTTCATCATTTGCTGCTGTCCTAGCTTTAAAGTGGTACAGTCAAAACTAAATTCCGTGGCCTGTATAGTGAACACCAGTACTTTTAAGGTCCATGATTGTTAAATGTTACCTCAGTCTAAGCCTAAGTGGAGAATCTGAGTGTTTTGAGCTAGAAAGTGTTGCTTGCAAAAGAACATAGAGGTTTGTATAGCAAGAAATACACAGGTCTTGGATGGAGACAGGCTTTGAGTCCTGCCCCATCACTTGATAGCTGGAATGATACTGAACATGTTGCTTAAATTATCCAAGTCTGAATTTCAAGGCTAATATATGCATTGCAGGATAGCAGTGAGAACTCAATGTGTCCTGTATAAACTACTCATACATCTTTTTAGCAGGCTAGTACATGGTATCACTGTAAGTATTATCATCAAACCATGAAATCCTTAGGGATAAAATCTAAGGACACATTTCTAATCAGGAATTCCAAGAATTCTACGGTTAGGAACTTGAGCTTCGGAGTGAGACACGTCTATCTGTATTTTAATCCTGGTTCTGCTACTTAGTATTTTATTTTCATTTTGGCTCTTTAGGTCTCATCTTTTCTTCATGAGACCAAAAAATGCTTACATCACAGAATTGTTGTCAGAAGTAATAACAAAGTGGAACTCATCTGTGTTGGGTACTTTACATGTATCGTCCCATTGTCGTATCTCCACAGCAGCCTTTGCATTAATGCCATTACTATCCGCATTTCCTGAATAAGAGAATGGCCCTCTACGGTAAAGTGGTTACCTAAGAGGTTAAGTAACCTGTCCAAATTATACAGCTAGGAATGGCAGAGCTGTGACATAAGCCCAGGTCTCCTCTCTTTGAAGCCCGGCATATATAACCCATACGTTATGTTGCCAACCCAATAAACTGAGTGAGACAATGAATATAAAATGCTTACTGCATTGTGCAACACGTAAAAAGTGCTATTTTCGTAGGTACCTAGGTGTCTCACAGCCATGTTGCACAGCCATGAGGGTGAGCCACTGCTTCACTCTTCCTTTGCTAGACATCCCCAGTTGGTAAGGGGTCACCACATGTTGAAATCCAGGAGAGGCAGGAGGATGGGAGAGTTGTTACATTATTCATGTTCAATTTTACTTGTCTAATGGACTTGTTAAAAGCACCCTGGATGGAAAGTGTGAGTCTTAATGGCATTTTATAAAAGCTGCTGTGATGAATTAGCACATAAAGCAAATTAAAAACAGCTTATCGCTTGTTAAATTAGGTGATGGGGGCACTGTCACATTTTTCCCAGCTGTGAGGTTCCATTAATATCCAAAGGAGCCAGAAGCTGCTGAAATGTGTCAGCTGCTTGGTTTTAGGGACCTCACAAGTCTGAATAAATATAATCCTAGAGGGACAGATTGTCGAAGACCAGTGGAGCCCGTTGAAAGAGCCTGTTGCTGAGCTCCTCAGCAAAGACACCTGCAGCTGACAGTAGGAGTGGGAAACTTCCCCTTAAGGACTCTTGGGAATAGAAGAGCACAGTTGAGTGAATGTCTGACCTGGTAGGGACCTTTAGGAACAGTCCCCACCCCCACTTCAAATGGGAATGCGGAGACATGAGAGAAGAAGGGCTTTCAAAAGCCACCTGAAACATTTTCACAGGCCTGTATTGAGGATCTACTTTGGGTCCAGCATCCTATTATGTCCTGAGGATACAGAGATATTTTAGATGTCTTTACACACTCTAGAAAACAGCTTTTAAGTGGCACAATTGGCACACAGATCCCCTGATTCAAAGCCTAAAATTTTTCAGAATTACAGTTATTTTAATAATATCTTACATTTATTGAGCCCTCACTAGTGCCAGGCTAGTGTTACAATACTTTATGTGTATTATTTCATTTAATCCACCCCATAACTTTGAGATAGATGGTGTTATTACGTATGCCAGTTTTACGATTAAGAAAATTTAAGGCCCAAAAAGATTAAGTAACTTGCCCAAGGTCACATAGTTAAAAAGTTGCAAACCTAGGCAGTCTGTCTCCAGAGCCTGCCTTCTTGGCTGCTACTTGCCAGCCTTTCTGATGGTTTCTCTACCTCAACTCCCCATAGTTTACATCCAGAAGGAACCTAGAGTCAGGCCAGCAGTTCAAGGACTTTGGGGATAAAAAATACTTGGACAAGGACTGAGCAGTAATTCAGGAATTTAGGAAAGAAGCAGTTGTCAGCCCTGAAGGGAAGATTAAGTCTTTGGCACTGCTAGATCACGAGCATGGCCAGAGGGCAACAAGAAGGGAAATTAAGCCATATAGTAAAATGACCAAGAAAGCAGATTTTGGAGTCAGATACACCTCATTTTATATTTAACCTCCACCACATGTGTCTGTGTGACCTGGGCCAGGCTCCTTAACTTCCTGAGCCTTCTTCCCTCATCTCTTAAGTGCAGATACTAATTTTTACCTTTAGGGTTGCTGTGACATCAAATAAGACAATGACTACAAGGTGCAAGGCCACCCAGTGAGGGCGTAAGTAGTAGTAGCCATCATGGTTATCATCTTCCACACCTCCTCACCACCACCTCCCAGGTTGAATGAGGGGGCAACGTGAAGAGTACTGAACTAGATTTGGACCCGGTGACCAAAGTTCTCATCCTAGGTTGCTGCCCCTAAGCCATATATTCTGGAGTTAGTCAGTGGACCCCATTAGATATGTCCCTCATCTTTTAACAACAACAACAACAAGTGGGGAGGCTAATACTGTCTCTGTCATAGCTTCTTCACAGAAACTGATTGAGTCACAACAAGGTAACGTACACAAAAATGCTTTGCAATCTATAGGGTGTGTGTTGGGGTTCCCCAAGACAGCTCCCAGGCTGATGACTCATTAGGAGAGTTTACAGGACTCAGCATGATCATGCTCATAACTTTGATTTATTACTGCAAAAGAAGGTATGAAACAATCTCAGATAATGGAGCAGGAGCATAGGACCAAGTCTGGAAAAAACTAGCTGCAAGTTTCTGAGAGTTCCCTCACAGTGGTGTCACACAGAAAGTGCCCAATTATTCCAGCAACACATTGCAACAACAGGTGCAAAGTGTTGTCTACCAGGGAATCTTATTAGCGACTCAATGTCCAGGTTTACTGGAGGCTGGTCACGTAGGCAGCCTCTGCCTAGCACATACCACAATATCAGACTCCCAGAAAGAAAGCAGGTGTTCTGTATAAATGATATTGTTTGTACAAACAGTTTAGACAGAGTAAGCCATTCTAATGCGTGGGAATCCTCCGAAAACCTAACTCCCAGATGTCAGCCAAGGGCCACCATTACAAGCAAGAACAGTAGTCTCAGGCCTGCTATGGTAACTACTTTTTGCACAGAGTAGAATCTATAGAAAACATTTGTATTAACATCTACCCAAAAGGGGAAAGGGAGCTCATAATAAAAACGTTAGTTCATACTTACTGTTTGTCACTGTGTGCCAGGCCCTTTTGTAAATGCTTTACATATATTACCTTACATAACATTTTACCCATACAGCAAGTCAATAATGTTAATTAGTATGATCAAAGTTGCTATCATCATTGTCATCATCATCACTATGTTGTATATGAGGAAACCAAAGCCTAAAAGAGACTAAGTAACTTGCCCAGCTGACTAGCTATAAGACTAAGACACAGAAGGAGCAGATCGTGGTCCCAGATGTCTATATTCATAACCACACTGTACTCCACTCTGCTATACTGTACTTACTGTAGGCTTAGGGCTGCATATGTGTTATTTCATTAAGGATCACAGCAGTTCTAGGTGAATGTTGTTATTAGACTCATTTTGCATCAAAAAACCTGTGGCTCAAAAATGTTAACTAATGTATGTCACATCAGAGGATCAGAGAAGTGACAGCATCAGGGGTGGGCATTTGCCTTTCCCCAGCTCCCTGTTCCTGACTGGGGCTTTGTCTGAGCTTTTGACAGAGGTGGTCGAGGTGAAAATGATTTATTTTGGGAGCTTGGACCAAGAGACTCTCTCCAAATTCCATCTCTTGGAGTCAGTGTCAATGGAAGAAGGGACCATGTTGCAAGTAATTATATTTTTCCTGCTGTATTTAAAAGTTCTGTCTTCAGCTCTTTCTTGTTGCCATGGCAGCAGATGTGACATTTCTTTGATGGGCAAAAAAAAAAAAGAAGAAGAAAACCACAGTTGGTCCTCACTGTGGAAAAATCTAAAATAAAACAGATTTTTTAGAAAAATCCGTTCCCCAGATCTTGCTAGTTTTGCATGCGTAGTGGTTATACTCTAAGGAAATTCTTAGAATGAAATCAAAGGGGAATAAACAGAGAGGTAGTGAAATCTGCTTCTCCAGGAAAATCATACTGTATATGTAAGGTGGTGATTTTTGAATGTGGGATATACAGCAGGACATGGACGACATAGGAGTGGTGGCAAATGTTCACCTCTTAATGATGACAGCTAGTTTCTGAGGTCTTGTTCATCATTTTGATTCTGATTCCAACTCTCTCATGCTGCCAGTCATACGTATTACAGTGCATTGGCCTTAACAAATGCTTAGCAAATGCTTTTTAGTGGGGGCAGCATGATACAGAAAGCAAGAATAGTAATTCTTAAGTGCTGTGATGAGGTAAGCTCGGCATAGTATGGAAGCAAAAAGATTTGTGTTGTTTACATGACTTTTTATCTATCCATACATACACATACACATACACATACACATACACATAGATTTTTAAATTTACTGCACTTTAAGCATGTATTCAGGTGATTACATTAACCTCTTCATTCTGTTGCAGTGGTGGTCCAATATTGCATTGAATGGAAGAATCACAGCCTACTATGCATAGACATTTGTGACCATTTTTTCCCATTATAAAACAAAGAGTTGTACAGGCTGATACATCTGAGATGATTTGTTGATACTGCAAAATGCTTCATTTAGAAAAATAGCCCTGTTTCTCTTTATTATTTTACTTTTTGAGTAATTTTAACAGTTTGATCGTAATGGGAAGGAAAATAATCTCCCATTAGGTAGTAAACTGACTTTCTCATCTCCTATTATCACCTTCTAACATCTGATGGTCTCCAAGAAAAGAAGCAGATCTCAGTTTGGGGGATCTATAGGATACCTCAGTAACCATCAAGAAGCAAGAACTAACTTTAGTTTGTTGCCAAAGCAGTGAGAGTGTGGACTGTGATCCAGGGAATTGCCCCGGGAGTTGGTATCAAGTGATGATGGGTTTTCAGAGCAAGGGTGAACATTTGAAACTATAAATCCTAAATCTGTGCTGCCAGAGACTCCTAACAGTATCCTCTTTTGTCCTTTCCTCCAGAGCCATGTTCGACTATGATAAGAGCAAGGACAGTGGGCTGCCAAGTCAAGGACTTAGTTTTAAATACGGAGATATTCTCCATGTTATCAATGCCTCTGACGATGAGTGGTGGCAAGCCAGGAGAGTCATGCTGGAGGGAGACAGCGAGGAGATGGGGGTCATCCCCAGCAAACGGAGGTAAGAATGCCTTTTGTACCAGAATATTTGCTTTTCAGCTATCCAGGGAGTGGAGAGGAGAGAAGAAGAAGGTGGGAGAAACTGTTCACAAAATTAAATTTATTTAAATGGGATAGTCAACCTGCAGGAAAATTGTCAGTAGTGACAGGTGACATGAATTAAAAATCCTCTTTCTCCTATATTAGGGTTCTGTCAAAATTGGTGCCTGTGACAAGAAATAAAAGAAGAAAGCAGATCTGCTAACACTGTGTTCCTAAAACTTTGACCAGTGTGTGTATGCGCAAGCTTGTGCCTATCAGCTCATGTGCCAACTTACAAATTAAGTCCTTTCATTTCCAGAAGTTACCAATGAATTTTATAGAAAGGCCAAGTTGAAGGCAAATGAAGTAGGCAGTTTACTGGGCTAAGGTCCTGGCTATGTTATATTTTCAAATATTGGTGGAAAAAAATGGAAAACCTTCATCTCAAATTCAGATGCTTGGAATATGAGCTGTCAAATATCTGATGAGGTCTAAGGACTGGGTTTAAAATTTTTTTTTCATTTTTTACTGTTTTCTTTACTGTTTACCTCACAGCTTCCAATAGTCACTTAGATATTTAGTTGTATGTAAGTGTTTCCTAAATCAAGAGTATCACACTTCCTCTTCCAACCATTTCTTCAGCTCTGCTTTTGAAAAGCAGAAATGCCCTTTAGAACAGCCAACTCCTTAATCTGTCCCAGCGGATCCATCACCAGACAGGAAATTTTCTTCTCACAAATGTCCCTTTGGCACCAAGATGTCCAAAAAACAGAAATTAGCTGTATCCCAGAGATTAGATACAGTACAATATCAGTCAGGAATGATTCTTAATAAAAGCAGGCACTAACTTTTCTTAAGCTGCAGATTTCTCAAAGGGCTTTGATCCTCACATCTAAATGCCCAAAATGCCTTTGTAAAAAAATCCCAGTGAAGCTAGGTATTCAAGTGCTTCTACACATCAAGTGATTGAGCTACTACAAACTGTAGTGGGAAGATGTAACTTTTTTTTTTTTTTTTTTGAAACGGAGTCTCGCTGTATTGCCCAGGCTGGAATGCAGTGGCACGATCTGGGCTCACTGCAACCTCTGTTTCCCGGGTACAAGTGATTCTCCTGCCTCAGCCTCCTGAGTAGCTGGGATTACAGGCGTGCACCACCACACCCAGATAATTTTTGTATTTTTAGTAGACACAGGTTTCACCATATTGGCCAGGCTGGTATCGAACTCCTGACCTTTTGATCCACCTGCCTTGGCCTCCCAAAGTGCTGGGATTACAGGTGTGAACTACCCCGCCTGTCCGGGAAGATGTAACTTAAATCTCAGAATAACTCTGTGGGATATTTGCGCTCCTGAGACAATTGATCCTCTCCTCTCTCTGCCTGTGGTCGCACAGCCTGGGGAAGAATGTGGCATGGAAAGCAGGGGGCTCCCTGGTCCTCCGCTGTTCTCTTGCCTTTAGCTGGGAGGAGTCACAGTGAAAGTGATGAAACTCCAGAGAACTTCCCCATCCCCCATGCCAGTGCCTGTAGATCTCCCACCAACAGACTTCTCTGGGTTTCTTTAAGCCTCTTGGCCCCTGGATAATTGCCTGACATTGCTTTGCCAGGGCATTCTGACTGCAGCATGGCTGTGTGTGTTTTCTGAAAGGTTATATGTTTAAAGCATTGACTCAGCACTGGCTTGTTTATATTCCGCATCTCTCCATTTCCATTTACTTCAAATAAAAAAATATCAAGACAACATGCATTTTGGTTTGCTTTGATTTAATTATTTTGAGCTGTCTGAAGAGCCGTTCTCTAGAAGAAGGAGCCATCTTGTTGAATTATGTCCCCAAAGATAGAAATAGGGTGGAGGAAGGAAAGCTATGCAGGAATAGATGTCAGCTTATTTTAAAGAAATCCTTTCACTAGTTGGAGCTGCCTAAAGATGGCATGGACTATCTGGGAAGATAGAAAAAGGATTCAAACTTTGAATACAGGAGTTGAATTATACCATTTTCTGCCTCTTTCCAACCATGAGGTTCTGTGGTTCTAACCAATCTTATTAAGTCGTTTGTTCGATTAGCTCATCATTTTTCTCCACAGGAACATTCTCAATGCAATTCCTCCTGAAATAATTTTCTACCTGATAGTAATCATTCTTGAATTAGTTATTTCCCTCTTATTTTAAAAGAGACCCATCTTAACAACCAGAGTATACCTGACCTGCAAAATACGTTTGATTAGTAATTGCAATGTTGATATTTATTTACGTTCTACTTTTTATGAAAGGTGCAGTACCTCCACCTCCCAAATATATGTATAAAATTTATAGCTGTAAATAAATTTCTGCCAAGTTTTCTTTTTAGGATTTTATTTTTTAAGAAGTTACTTTTATTCTTTTAAGTATTTGTAAAAGTAATAACTTTCATTGTATAAAAGTGGGAACATTTAGAAAAATATAAAGAAAATAAAAATCACTTATAATCCTACCCCACAAAGAGTACTCATGTACTTATTTTAGTGCGGTGTAAAACCTACATTTATTAGGTTGATGTTATTTTTCAGTTTTTAATTTCTTTCTAGCCTGTTTTCTGAGGAGTGCTGATCGGGAAATTTTTTTAAATCTCATAATGGATAACATCAGTGTATGACTTTGTACCTCTTACAAAAATGTTTCTCTACTGATAATGTCATTTAGTCATTCCAAAATGAAACCATAAGATGAAGAGTATGAATATTATCACCTTCCCCCTTCTTTTTTTTTTTTTTTTTTTTGAGGTTGGGAAATAAATTTTATTTAGTAAAACATTCCTATTGAATGCTAGATGCTATTGTAAGCCCTTTACAATTATTAATTTAAGCCTCATTACAACCCTATGAGTAAGTTGCTATTATTATCCTTATTTTACAAATGAAGAGATGGAGGCACCGAAAGATTCATTAATGTGCCTGAAATTGCCCGTGTAGTAAGTGGTAGAACTGGAATTTGAATCCAGGCTACAGAGCTGCATTTAAGTCATATGCAATCTTGCCCTGCAAAGGTACACAAATAAGAGCTGACAAAATTCAATTCAGCAAGCACTGTTTGGGCAGCATCTGAGTACCAGGCACTATTGTTGGTTCACTGCCTGGAGCCCATCACTTGCGGGACCAGCATGTAACTGTGGCACAGCTACTCTGTGATTAGGGCAATGTGGGCTATATTGTAAAGGTAAGGAAAGTGAAAGGGCAGCAGACACAGTGAATTCCATCTGCTTACAGCACTGATCATGTGTTGCAACAGGTGCTTTCACATACATGATTTCAATTTAATCTTCACAAAAACTTCATACGGAAACTGAGGATCAGAGATGTCAAGTAACTTACCCAAGAATGCACAGCCAGCCACTGACCAAACCAGTCTCTTTGACAGCAGAGACAGATGGCTTTCCACTATACCAGGAACATCACCCTAGGAGCATTTGCCAAGTAAGGAAATAGACAATTTAAGGAGTCTGCCAAAATACAGTGGCAGCAGGGGGCTAAGCCTAGACTCAAACACATGCCTTTGTGTTTGAATGTCTGATGTCTCTATGAGCAACTGCAAAGGTTTGGGGCTCTTCTCAGCCCTACAGCTCTCAAGTCTGGTGGCCCACATTTCAGGGTCTCTTAAGAGGGGAGAAATAGAAGTCCATGTCTTGCTCCCACCTGGCATAAAGGGACTGACCTTGGCAACGAGAACCTGAAATAGGGCACCTGTATTACTGCCCTTTTACAGATAAGGAAATAGGGACCAGTGATGACAAGTGACATCATGGACAACATTATCATAATCATCTTAGTAGCAGCCTATTGTATAGTGGGTTCTTACTATAGATCAGACATTGCGCTAAACAAATATCTTGTATTCTCTCATTTAACATTCGCTGTAAATTTTTAGAGTCTACATTAGCTCTAATTGAATAAACGCAAACTTTGAAATCCTAAGAGGTTGAGGACCACCCTAAGTCACAGATCTAGTAAGTGCAAGAGGCAGAATTCAAACCCAGGCTGTGCAACTTCAAAATCTGGACTGTTAGCATAGAATCACTTTTCTGAGATTACATAGTGTGTAAGAGACCCAGCTGCTTTTTGTCCCATGGTCTCTTAAGCCAAGTGTCTATTCATTGCTCTCCAGTGACTGGTCACCTGGGCTCTCAGATGGCAGCTTATGGCTGGTATTACGTAAGAATGTACTCACCTAGCCTTCAGAGCAAGCTTGTGGCCACTAATGTGGGTGACCTTCCAATTCTCCCTCCAACAGGGCCTGTGGAGCACCAGGAAAGGAACTCCCAGGGACAAATGATGTTCCCACTGTCCAGTTCTCCAAGCATGACCCAATTATGGGTTTGGCCAGAACCTAAAAATGCCAGATGGGAGAGAGGGAGAAGGAGACAGCTGGGCTTATTAAAGCATAGCCATTTGGTGCTCTCTGGAAATGTGAAATGTCAGAATTGATTGCTCAAATTTTGCCATTCCATTTATGGTTTTGGTATTTTGGTCAGAGATGAGACTTCAGCAGGGAGGATTATTTCTGCTCAAACAATCTAATTAATTGCTTGAGTTTAAGTGTGAGTGGGGAAGTAAGGCAGTTGTTCTCATTGCGATTTGGTCTGTCTGTTCAGGTGGTCCACCATTTCTTTAGGTGAAAGCCTTTGGACCTTAATATTTATTAGTCAAAGAAGTCTTACTGAGTAAAACAATGAGAGAAAGTGATGCTAAATTTTTACCTAGATTCTTACCAAGAAAGTAAGTTGTGAAATGGTGAATCACATTTTGTGGGAAACACTGGTTGTTCAGCAGTTCACTTAAACTCTCTGGGCCTTAGTTTTCACATGCACGTAAAGAACTAGTAGCCTCCTTTAGAGTCCACTTATTTATTCATTCAACAAAGGCTCATTAAGCTCCTACTATGTATCCAGTTCATGTTAAGCCCGGATTATAGCTCTTATAGGTGAAGTCCTTAGCATAGTTTCTAACAGTGTACATTCCAATGATAGCTGTTTTCCATTTTTCAAATTTTGAGCTTTTGTTGCTAGAAACAAAAACACCACATGATTTAGAGCCCTATTTTCCAGATAACTCTCATTTCAGCAGTAAACCATTCACATGCATCCCAGAAAGAGCTAGGAGAGAGGAAAGGGCTGAGGCAGATGAGGAAGATAAGCCACAGACAGACACATCCTCTCAAGGAAAGAGGATTGCAGAGAACCCCAAGAGATTACATAAGAGTTTTACTCATCTACCCTTCATGCAAGCCTCTGTGATGGAATAGCACTATTAGGGTTGCTGGTGTGCTAAGGAGAGAGATCAACTCAAATAGGGATTTAACTAAGCAGATTTCCATGTTTAAAGTTAATGTATTCTGAATTTTGATGTCAACCTGTTATGGTACACTACTACCTCGATGATTGTATGTGTAAATTTGTTTGTGGTTTATTTAATAATTAATAATATTCATAGCATTCAGGACATTTGGAAGATGGGGATGCCAGGGTACGTTGGTTATTATTTATGAAAACCTCAGCCCAGACTTCTAAGGATATGTATGTGCCTTCAAACTGTGGATGCCACATCCAAAATCTCACGTTTATTGAGAATTTGGATAAAGGCAGGCTTGGGAGGTCCTGATGTGGTTTCCCAAATTGAGTGCCTGTGGCAGACACTGAAGTTAGCTGTTAGAGAATGTGTGTTCAGGCTCTGTGTCTACCACTTTCTGATCTGGCACGCTTCAAGTCTCAGTTTCTTCAGTTATAAAATGAAATTGATAATATCTAAATCATTAGGTTATTATGGGTACCAAATAAGATGATGTAAATGTGAAGGAACTTTGTTAATAATTGTATGTTGCAACTTTAGTGGCCACTTATGTTATTATTATTAATGAAACTTTCAACCCAAATAGGAAACCTTTCAGCTTCCTTCATGAGTGAACAGGAACTAGGTGACCTCCATAAAGCTTCAATTTTAATTTTTCTTTACTTTTTCTATTATCTGTTTGAAGATTAATAATAAACTGTAGCAAATGGTGAGAGAGAGAGAGAGAGTATGTGTGTCTGGCTGAGTTAATATACTTTGCAACCTTTTTAAGATTTAAAGGATGAACCACTAAAATCTGCATAATAGAGACATTTCTCAAGAAAATTGAAAAGGATAAATATAGAAGTGGGGTTGGGGTGCAGGGCATGGGGCGCAATTAGAATGCTCTGTCCAAACAGTCCTGATTGCTGAATACTGAGTTCCTTCTAACATTACGTATGTTTGGAACCTGTGTGAGTTCTGTGGGTTTATGCAGAATTTATTTGCATACCCTGATCAAATAATCATATATTCTCTGCATGCTACAGTCATTTTGGCATCATTGAATGAACTAGTGGTTTCCCATCATTAGCCTAGTTCGAAAAAGGTGGAATAAAGTTAGAGCTGTAACGACAGTTTTAGAAGAATACAAAGAGATGAATATCAATTATCGTTTGCACTTGGATTAAAATCGAGAAAAGGTGATGAAGTGATGAAGCTCAAAGGAAGCATTTTCTCAGTGAGCATTTTCCATTGGGCAGCTTATCTTACCTTAAATCTATCTTGCTTTCTCCCCAACTGTTGTATGTCTGGTGCAAGTAGAAACCTTCGGTGTAACACGTTGTTGTATTTATTTATTTATTTATATTAATTCTGGGGGGAGATAGAGTCTTACTCTGTCATCCAGGGTAGAGTGCAATGGCATGATCTGGGCTCACTGCAACCTCTGCCTCCTGGATTTAAGCAACTCTCCTGCCTCAGCCTCCTGAGTAGCTGGGATTACAGGTATCCATCACCACATCCGGTTCATTTTTTTTATTATTATTTTTGTAGAGATGGCATTTCACCATGTTGGCCAGGCTGGTCTCGAACTCCTGACCTCAGGTGATCCATCCATCTCGGCCTCCCAAAGTGTTGTGATTACAGGTGTGAGTAACCATGCCTGGCTTCACATTATTTTAATATATGAAGTTAGATTTTAAAATTTTTGTTCAGCTGTTTCCACTCAGATATTCTACTCTCACAGTGAAATAAATATATTCTGCAATTCCATTCTGTAACTATAGAAACCCTGATCTTCACTGTGTTTCAGTTGGGAACACAAAAGAGCTCTCAGTTAGAGAGGAGTATGCCGTTAATTATTGATCTATGAATAACTTAGATTTCATAAACCGTTGTTTCTGTGAGTTCAGATTTTTTCTTTCTCTTTTTCCTCATATCTTTGAAATTAGAGCTAGCAATATTTAAACAATAAGTCATGTTAAAACAATGCAATGAATATTATTTTTGCTGGACAATTATTTATTGAGGACTTGCTATAAAGCACCATTGAGCGATATGTGGGCTTGTACCTTAAGGTACATCCAACCTTGTATATGCAGTGCAAACATAAGTAAACACAAGGAAATCAAGAGGTAATGCTGACGTGGAGACTGTTCCAGTCAGAAAGGAGCAATCATGTCTAACTGGAGAGGCGCAGAAGAATCAGGGAAATATCTAGATTCTTTTCCTCTTTTTCAACCTTGGCCTTCAAACAAGCATGAATTCAACCAATTTCATTTTCCTAATATTTCTCAAGCCATTCCCTCTCCTCCACCCCACTATCATTTCTCATTATTTTTTGCCTGGGCTATGGCAACAGCTTCTAAATAGGCCCCCCCGCCTCTTCCTATTCCTTCCTTCCTCTGGTCTGTCTTCTGCCTCGACCAGGGTTGTTTATTTAAAACTGATCTGATTTTATCACTTCGCTGCTTTATATCCTCTAAGAACTCATGATGATTCCCCAAGGAAAAAACTCAAGTCCTTAATGTGGATGGATACCCTTTATAAGGAGCCTGTCACCTCGGTAGCCTCACCTCCCTATCCTGTATACCCACTGCATACCTTATATTAGTATCTCTCTGTAATCTTGTAGCTTACTCATACCTTCAGGTTGAGGCATATGTTGTTCTTTCTGTGAAAAATCACCCGGAAATTTCCCTACCAACAAGCTCTTTCTAATCCTTCAATCTCAGATGAATTGACATTTCCTCCAAGAAGTCCACCCCAATGCTTTCTACTTCTCCTTTGCACCCTCCCAGTGAGATAGGTGCTCCCGCTTTGATATCAGCCATCTGGTTCTACAGCATTTTCTGCATTTGTTTATCCTGCTGTTCTTGCCAAAAGAACATTGCTAAGAACTCACTGCAGTCATGATCTTAGAATTTTTTCTTTGTTTCCCAGCTCCTTGCTTGATACATGGTAGATAGTCAGTAAGTGTTTAATGAATAAATGAAGTAGCAGGAAAACCATGAATCAGCAGAGATGACAGAAGGGCATTGGAGAAAAGGAAAGCTCAAGATTATATCTAATATGTTTGGTTAAAAAGTAAAGCTAAATACACTGGTGTTCTTAAAAGGAAGAGAAAGAAAAAGAAGAAAAGGAGAGGAGATAAGGGAAGAGGGGAGGAAAAGCTTGTTTAGTCTCTAGTATAGATATTAATCTTTATGGACTGTGGTTTCTTGAAATAAATTTTGATTTAATTATTTAAGCATTTGAATAATAAATATCTTCTTCTACGTCTCTGTTGCTTACAAATACTGTGACTCTCAGTATATGTATCAGGGTAATTTCAACGAACATGTTAGAAACTTAGAGACTTTGTGCAAGATTTTTTATATGGAACAAAGGAAGGGAAATATTTTAGAATACATTTTATTTGAGCTGCAAGGATAGGAGGAAAAGGTGTTCTTCACTTAATAAGGAACTTAGTCATAAATGCCTTGTCATGTGACAGACTCCTTATTCTCAATTTGCTTTAGGGTGGAAAGAAAGGAACGTGCCCGTTTGAAGACAGTGAAGTTTAATGCCAAACCTGGAGTGATTGATTCGAAAGGGGTAGGTACAAAATGATAGAAACATCAAGTTCTCTAAGTTGCCATGGATTTAACTATAATTAACATTTAGGTTTTCAGTAGTAAACAAATTATGTAGCTACCAGACAGTAGAGCACTGTTATAAATGTATTGTTGAAGTTAATAATGCCATTTCTGATGAAATGGATTTATGGTAAATATATTTAAACACTGGGAGTAAAGCTGCAAGTGGTTAGCAGAAACAATGTGTTGATGAAGGTGATGTAATGACTGCAATGAAAAATAACAAGAGAGTTTAGGTGGTTTTTGTTTCTTTAATTTTTGTCCTTTTAAATTAATGTTCTAAAAGGATGGATTTTATAAAAAGTTTCTGCTCATCAGAAAATGTATCTAGTCTCTTTCACATTAAGAAGCTAAGACAGTGATTATGGAAAAATGGATTATCTAATGAATGCATGGATTGTTGTGACAGACATAGAAGATATAATTACTAAAATTCAGCCATCAAAGTTAGAATATTCACTCACAAATACATCTGTACATCTTTTTTTAAATAATAGCTTTATAAGATAAAATTTGCATGCAGTGTAATTCACCCACTTAAAAAATTCCAGTAGTTTTTAGAGTATTTAGAATTATGCAGCCATCACCACAATCAATTTTAGAGCATTTCATCACTCCATAAAGAAATCCTATATGCATTAACATTTCCCAATTCTCCCACCCCAACCCACCCCAATATAGGCAACCACTAATCTACTTTTTGTCCCTATGGATTTGCCTATTTTGGCTATTTCATATAAATGAAATTATACACCATGTGGTCTTTTGTGACTGCTTCTTTCACTTACGTAATGTTTTCAAGATGCATTTGTGTTGTAGAATGTATAAGTACTTCATTTCTTCTTACTGCCAAATCATATTTTATTGTATGAATATGCCACATTTAATCTATCAGTTGATGGATGTTTCAGTTGTTTCCAATTTTTAGTTATGGGTAATGCTATTATGAACATTTGTGTACAAACTTTTCTGTGAACATTTGTTTTTATTGCCGTTGGCTGCATGCCTAGGAGTGGGATTGTTGGGTCATATAGTAACTGTATGCTTAACATTTTGAGCAACTGCCAGGCTGTTTTCCAAAGTGGTTGTATCATTTCACATTTCCACAGCAATGCATGAGGGTTCCAGTTTCTCCACATCCTTTTTATTATATGTCTTTCTGATTATAGCCATTTTAGTTGGTATGAAGTGGTATCTCATTGTGGTTTTGATTTCGTTTCCTCAGTGACTGTTGATATTGAGCATATCTTCATGTGCTTATTGGCCATCCATATATATTATTTGGAGAAATGTTTATTGAGATCCTTTGCCCATTTCTAAATTGGGTTGTCTTGTTGAGTTATAGAAGTTCTTTATATAGTTGGGTTATTAATCCCTTATGAGACATATGCTTTACAATATTTTCTCCCACTCTCTGGGTTGTCTTTTCATTTTCTTGATAGTGTTCTTTGTTACACAAAAGGTTCTAATTTTGGTGAAGTCCAATGTGTGTATTTTTTCTTTTTTATTTTTGCTTTTGGTGTCACATCTAAGAAACAATTGCCTAATGAAAGTCATGAAGATTTATATCATATTTTCTTCTAAGAGTTTTATAATTTTAGCTGTTACATTTAGGTGTTTGATCCATGCTGAGTTAGTTTTTATGTATTCTTTTGCATATGAATTATCTTATTTTTGGATTGTTCATTGCAAATGTACAGAAATATAATTATTTTTATATCATTCTTATATCCTGCAACCTTGCTAAAGCCACAGTTTTTTAGTAAATTCCTCAGAGTTTTCTATATACAAGATGTACGTGCAAAAAGGGAGAGTTTTGCTTCCTTCCTTCAAATATAGATGCCTTCTTTGCTTGCCTAATTGCACCAGTTAGAACCTTCAGAATAATATTAGATAGAAATGGCAAGCGTAGCCATTTTTGTCTTATTTCTGACATTGTGAGAAATGCATTCGGTCTTTCACCATGAAATATGATGTTAGCTGTGGCTTGTATAGCTTTTAAAATCTATTCTTTGAAGAGATAATACTAGTATCTTACTGCTGTGTTGTAAAATAACTTTCCCCATCTTCTCTCTTCCTGTTCTTTTTTTCTTCATATCCTTTTTTTCTTCATATCCTTTCCTTCGCCTTTCTAGCCTAACAATTGTCGCTTGTGAATATCATACAGAACAACAATTTATGTCAGTCGCTGTCACCATGAAAAAGAAGAAGAAAAGTTTATCATTTCTCAGGGATTTTGAGGTCCAAATAACAGCACTGCCCTTTCTATTTTTAAGTAGAAGAATCATAAGATAGCCCAGTCATTGACATAATAATTTATCCTCCCCTAAAACATTCAAATGAAACGAAAATGTATGAAAACATAGGATGTCATTATAAATAGAAGTGAGGGTATGTGACATCATGACAAAGTTCTTTCAAGAAAATGCTACTTGTGTATAAGAGTTAGGATCTTTTTCCATGATGCCTGTTGAGAATTTAAGGTAGACCTCCTGTTTGTTTGAGATAGATAGATAGACAGACATACAAATAGAGTTGGATATATGTGACAAAATTTTTACTGAATACTTAACATGTGCCAGAAATAGGACTAGAACTTTAGAGGGACACAAAGTCTAACATAGGCCCTTTTCCCCAAGAGCTCCTAACATCAGTGAGAGGCTAGATATCTTTTCAGTAAGCCTGAAATGTATCTGATGTGCTTTTTAATCTTACATGTTAAACACCATTAGGTATTTGCCAACAAACAGGATGTAAATTCTAGGACTTGGCTATTGAAAGAGAGGAGTAATCTGGGAGGGGAAGCCCTGAACAGAAAATCAGAAGGGTCAATAATCTGGGTTCTGGTTTCAGCTCACTACTAAGTCACTATTATTCTTTGGGCCTTATTACCAAAATAAAACCTTTAAACTACATCAGAGATATCAAACAAGTTTCAACTCCTATGTAGACTAATGGATTGATAGTTTATATCTGGTGTCTTGTTTTGAAAAAGGATTCTGAGGCTGTATAGGATCACAGAAGCAAAAAAGAGTGGCATGATTGAGTCATCTCTAGCACAACATTGGGAATTATTCCCTACTTGCTTTGCTGGATTCAATGATTTTTTAGGGCGCCTTATGTTAGTAACTCTCTATGAAATTTGCTCATGCATTAATTGGTAATAAATCAAAGTTCTCCAAATCCCTATGAGAAAATACATCAGTAAGAAGACTTGTCCAGAAGTAGAAAGCAAAGGACCATTAACAAGAGATAAAGTGCACTGAGGAAAGGAGAGAACAACTCTCTGGAGAGTTGGGAAAGCGGGGTCAGGAGATGCCACTCGCTGTGAACTAAAGGCAAGGACTGTAGGAATAAGTCATTGATGCAGAGGCCTCATCCTCTGGGACCTTGAGGTAAATTCAGCATCAAGTAAGGAGGAAAATTGTCTGGAATGAGTAGGATAATAGGGTATTTTAAATAACCTTTTCATTAGCTGGCATTTTCAGAGCATTGTGAAATGTCCTGAGGAGTTCAGAGTGAAAGCCAAGGTTACTGCCCTGGAGGAGCTTAGATTCAATTAGTATCTGTGAAAGCAGGCTGTGACAAGAGCCTTAGTAGTCGTATGTACACGAGCTATAAGAATTTAAATTAACAGTCACAGGATGGCCAGAGAGCACTTTATAGATGAACTTGGACTTTAATGTGACTGTCAGTGCTTGAGTTACTTTTCCAGAACTCTTCATTGATTGCAGTAACATTGAGTGCTGCAAAACACCAGGCACTATGCTAGGTGTCTTGTGTTGCAAGTGTGTGTCTGTCTGTGTGTGTGTCTGTGTGTGTGTGTGTGTATAAGATCTAACATTGCAACAAGCTCAAAAAGAGAAATATAGGCAGGCAAACAGTAATAATATACCATCACTGATGTTTTCCATAAATTTAAGGAATGAACAGTCTTCATTTTAAAAATCAGGAGACTAAGCCTCAGGAAGATTGACTAGCTTGCCTAAGATCACACAGTTAGTAGGTGCAAGCAACAGGTTGAGATCATTTTGACAACAGAAGCCTGCCCTTTCCATTACACCACACTATACCTGATTCTGTTGAAGCCAGAGGAAGCAGAGCATTACAAATTATGCCTGAGCTAAGAGAGAAGGCTTCAAAGAGGTGATATTTAAATGAGATCTTGAATTTTCAGTAGCAGTTTGCCACATACAGAGGAAAAAGCAAGAACATGGTAGTGGAAATCACAGGCATGTTGGAATAGGGTCAAGAAAGTCAAGGACACCAGTGCACAAAGGTCATGGTGGGAGTTGTAGTAAACGGGGTTGACAAAGAAGATCAGAAAGGCCAGAAAGCTTGTATAGAAAGCCTGGCTATGAGGTTGGAAGCTTACTGGATTTTGAAAGTATACATGAGGAAATCTGAGGTTCTTCATTTGAAAGTGCTCATTTGCTACAAATGAAATACCCAGGATTTCTATCCACTCTGCGTGCCTTTACAAAGTCTATGTCTACACATGCAAAGAAAAGTGGGCTGTTGTGTCAGTAGCCTAGGTAAGTGCAGCCTGTGCAGACCCCTAAACTTCAAACAGCCATCTATTTGGACGGGTTTCCTTAAGACCCATCTGAGTGCCCCAGATCTCAATGCAGTTAAGTTCCCCTGGGAATGTGTATTAAGTTCCTAATGAGTCTCAGTCAAACCAGCCTCTGGTGAAAATTTAAGCACCCCTTAAATTTTTTTTTCTTGTCCTTCTACCTTCTTTTTAAAATCAATTTCATTATTAACCAGCCATTCTGTTACTTATTGAGAGGTTTAGGAAATGGCATAATGTTCAGAATCAAGCTGTTCTGCATTGAAAACTCAATGACCATTTAGTGATTTATGCTAATTTTTAAGTCTATAATTTAATAAAGGGAAATATGTATAAGAGAGAATATGAGAGAGCTATCAGTATCTTTACTATATGTCAGCAATGTGTGAGGTATAAGTGTCCCTTTTATGTTGTAAACCCTTTATAAAGTAAGGTATGGTATAAATAAATAAATAGTCCTATTTATCCTTGGGCTGGGATGGAACAGAGATGATAGTTGTTATTCGAAGTAATATGAGTATCCAATATAAAAACCGAAACAGTTTATATACACCTCTCTTAAAAAAAAAAAAAATGTGGCTAGGCGCAGTGGCTCATACCTGTAATCCCAGCACTTTGGGAGGCTGAAGTGGGGTGGATCACAAGGTCAAGAGATCGAGACCATCCTGGCCAACATGGTGAAACCCTGTCTCTACTAAAACTACAAAAATTAGAAGGGCGTGGTGGTACATTCTTGTAGTCCCAGCTACTCAGGAGGCTGAGGCAGGAGAAGCACTTGAACCCAGGAGGCAGAGGTTATGTTGAGCCGAGATCACGCCACTGCACTCCAGCCTGGCAACAGAGCAAGACTCTGTTTAAAAAAAAACAAATTTGTAGTTCAAGACCAGGCTGGTCTTGAACTCTTGGGCTCAAGCAGTCCTCCTGCCTTGGCCTCCCTAAGTGCTGAGATTATAGGTGTGAGCCACAGTGCTTGGCATACATTCATCTCTTAATCACCATTAGACTTCAAAGGAAATCATTTATTTCCCCTTTATAGATTTAAAGAAACTGAGGTTTAGAGAGGTGAAGAAACCTGAATATATGTCTGACTGATTCCAAAGTTCATAATCTGTTTACTATAGCATGCTTTCTTCTTTATTAAGACCATGTAACACTTGTGCAATTTAAGAAAAATAAAGAAGTAAATTGAATTGGATTTCGCTTTGTCAAAATTTAATGTGGGCATAAACTTAAATCTTGAGAGGAAGAAGATGGTTTTCCTGGATGATGCACACCTTTCTGAAGGAGAACATTCTAAAGTAAGCTCAGAAATACACATTTTTTATGTGTATTTAAAATAAACATGTTTTCAGTGCAGAAAAGGAGACTCCAGCTTGGAAGTGAGAAAATTTGGATTAGGGGGCCTTGAAGGATTAGGGAGATAGGGACTGGGGTTAGGATTAAGTTACAGGATAAGTGTGAAGTAAAACATGGTTCACTTTCATTGCAAGGAACAGTTTATGAAGGCGAATAAAAGGACTCAGAACTGGAAAGTTAGACTCAAGATAGTTCTGATGCCTAAAATTTCCCAGGAAATTTATACTTTATCCTGTAAACATTAAAGAATTTTAAGGGTTGTGGCCAACCAGACCAGGTGATTTTCTCTGGG